ATGTGTATATGTCGTGTATCAGCTGAGGTGCAGGCTATCTTGGTACTTGTTAGCAAAGAACAGTGTTTTTTCTGACAGTCCAGTAAACTGGACTGGGGAACACGTATCAGAAGGGTAAAGTTTCTTGTGGGCCTGTCTCACCTTACTCTGTTTCAGACCCTGGCTTCACACTGATGGTTTGTGTGTGACTTTGATCTTTTACTTACTTTGGTTACTTGACCATACAGAAGACAGTTCACTTATCAGCAGTTAGGGGTATGCAAACCCCTGCTTTGTTTGAAAAGACAGAATTTAGGGAGAGGTGCTTTTTTTTTTTTTGTAAAATAGCAAAGAATTTTTTTTAAAATTTGAGCGTTTTCTTCTTGAGTTTCATAAAATGTAGCTAACACTGACCATGTATCTCTGAACCCTTGTACTTTTTATGATGTTGTATGACACAAAAGCAGTAACAGGAGTGAAGAATATGACAAAGTATGTAAGAGCAATGCCTGCTCCCTTCTCTGAATAACAATCTATCAGATACACTGCCAAAAGGAAGACATTTGTAGTGTTAAATAGAATGTTTACAATTTCATGGGACCTATGCGTTTAGACAAGAAAATGATCTAAAGGTATTCACTGCAGTAGAATGTGACCATAAAACTACTCACGTTCAGAATTAAGAAAAGCACTAAATTTAGTCTCGGCTTTTGCGGTAATTTCTTGACTTCCTTACTCATTGCTGAACAGAAATACTTAATGAAAAAAAAAGCATTCATCAGAAATTTTTGTACCAAGTGAGAACACAGGTGCAGAAAGGAGGAATAATGTGATTTCTTCTATTTTAAAATATTTTAGAAGTGGTCAGATAGTGATGTAGACTGCATGAATTTTTGCCCATCCCTTTTATGTTATTCTGTAAGGTTTTTCTATTATAAGGTTAAAATTCTGAAAGTATTGTCTCATATAGCATAACATAAGTTAAGTATAGAGAGACATCTTGATGTTAACCTTAAGAAGTAAGAACTGCTCGTATGAGTGTGATAGTCTGTGGCAAAATTAGTGTTAGTCCTAAATAGGCTGGCTCTAAGGTCTCTAAACTTGTTTGGAGATTAACCTTGGAACATACACTGATTTAGATTAAACAATCCAGCAAATTTCCCTCCTTAGGCTATCATACACTGGGTGAAAGCCTAAATAAAAGAATAGCTACATTTACATGCCTGATGACATGCAAGGCTGGAGAGTGAGAAGTGGCTAAACTCTTCCCACTTATATTTTACTCTCAGCAATTTCATTGCTGGAATCAGTTCAGAAGCAACTTGTGCTGATGGGTTATCTTTCTTCATAACTTCATATATATATGCCCTGGCATAAAAGGGTTGTGTTTGCATCATGAGAAGTCTGTTCAGTCTCTGGGAAATCTGGTAGATACCTTCTGCTAGCCCATTCCAAAACCAGTAGAGATCTGGCCCCTAGGAGCTGTCTGGAACCAGTAAGCAGCAGAAGGGACCTTACTGGGAAACGTACCATCATCAGCAAAGACGTCTTTAGCAAAACTGAAGTGTCAAATTTTATGTCTAAAATGTAATCTTGTAAATGTATCCTATGTAACAAATAAATACTTGTGGATTCTTTATTTACGCAATGTGTGAAACTAGGCCACATAAATTTTTATTTGCAACTGGAAACCTAATTGAGTTCATGACTTTTAAAAGCCTTCAAACAATTGGAAAGTGCATTACTATGATAAAAAAAAAATTGTGGAAATGCAGTCCACACTATGGCAGAACTGTTAGGCACTCAGCATACTGAGTTTTTCAGATTCCAATCTCTCCCTGTATTTCTGAACTCCTATCACAGCACTGATGTCTCAGGCCTACAGACATAGACTGTTGTGTTGATTTTATGGAATCGTGCATTGTGTGGGTTGATACCTTTTGTTTTTGCAAGGGTGAACATGTTATAAATGGGTTAGTTTTACTGTACTGCTAGTCTCAACACATTTGTTATAAATGACTTTTATTTTTTACTCTTGAAGATTTCTTCTGAACAAATACTTGACATACAATCTTGAGGGATTTTTTTTTTCTATACTTTTAACGAGGCCTCTGTTCTGTTTGCATTTAATATTAAGATTTGCTGTTTCTTTAATTGCAGTTTACTCAAGCATGGAGTCTTTCAATGAATAGTTTTCAAGAGTGGCAATATTTTCTTTTGTTATTTCAAATAATATTTTCACATTCCTTAATGTTCTTCATTCAGTAACACCAAAGCACATCGTAAATATAATTAGTAGAGGAATTTTATTAGAGCAGTTTTTGGGCTGATAAACAGAAGTATAGAGAAGTAATTTTCCTAACGCTACAGAGAAAGTATTTTGGGAATGTAGCACAAGACTTGGCTGTTTTTTTCTTTTTTTTCTTTTTTTTTTTTTCCCCTCTCTGACTTGTAGGCAATATTCTATACATCTTAGAGTATGGAATAAAAATGGTATTGCTTTATTTCCCTTCCATCATCATTAAACAACTTTCATGACAAGAAACTTATAGCCATTGTGAGGTTTTATCAAAAGCAATTAGAATCATCAAACAGATGCTCTTTAGGGGAAAAAAAAAATAAGTCTAAAGCTATTTCAAGTGTTTTAGAGCTTAATTCCTTTATTACTCTTTTTCTTTTTGCTTGTGACCCAAAGACAGTTTTATTATAGTGGGTAATTTTATAAAAAATTATTTTTCTTCTGTATGTTTCCTTGCCCATAGTTTATCTGTTCTGGAATAGTGAGTTGTCAATATTCTCTTAGTTGTATGCAGATGTACTGAAGCAAGGAGATATTTTCAAGACTTTTCCTGCATTGAAATAAATCCTTCTTACCATTTAATTCAAACAAAAGTAAAATCAAAGGGCAAAGAAAACTCAAGCTCCAAAACCCATTAGCAAATAATACAAAGATTAATGGATACATTTTTAAAGGTTGAAAATAAATTAAAGTTGCAGATTGTGTAAGGTTTTCATGTACTCCAGATGAATGTGTAGTTCCATTGACTCATTCTCAACTGCTGAAATGCTTCAAGTTGAGCTGATATTTAAAAGCTGCAAGTGTGCATCTTGAACAAGAGAAAAAATGTGGAAAGTCTAAAGTCTTGTCTAAGGATGAGTTTAAGCATATTTTCTTGCTTGAGACTACTTCCTGATGTTATGAAACAGGACAGAAATATGATTTAGTTATTAAGAAAAGTTAGCTCTATATAATTATGTACAGGTGACTACTTCAAAAGTTTTGTGAATAATTACTTTGTTTTAAAAATAGGCTTGCCTTTAAACTATCCTCTTACCCCTTAGTTCTCTTAAACTGCTACTAACACATGCTTCAGACAATGAGTCCTTAACTTATAGCGGAGTTTGAGTATTTTATTTGTGTTGATTCTATTGCATGTATTGGTGCATTTTGAGAAGCACGATTGACTAACCTGGGAGGAAGGTTGTATTAATACTTCTCATATCCCGGTTACCAGATTCCACCAACTCCCTCCTGCAAGGCTCAAGGCAGTGAGAAAGTAAGAGGTTTTTCTGGACTGATTTTAGTACAGTATTGTAGAAAATCTCAGTGCAAGGCTGTATAGAGGGGAAGGTGATTTTGTATTAAACAAAACTGATTTCATTCAGCCACACTCATTCTCTTGTATTCATATACTAACAAGTGCTAAAATATGTGTCCAGACAGTCTAGCTAGGAACTTGGGGTGACACTTGGAAAACACTAGCAAGTCTTTTTCACGGCATTTGAGTTGTTCTTAATGCTGTGGTTTGGATGTGACTTTTGCACCCTAAAGAAGTTGACAGTGACTGTAATTCTTTTTTCCTTCATCCTGTCTCACGTCTGTGACTCATTGCGAAAAGCTGCTGATTTATTCACCATCTCTGTGTCTTTTTCTCTTGCTGCAGTTTATTCTTTTTTTTTCCTTTTTTCTTTTTTTTTTAGGATTTTTTTTTTTTTTTCCGCCAGTCTGGGTGGATTGAAGAATCATCTGTGATCCTAACATCTTGATGCCATCAACACCTGTCATTCTTTTATGCCTTCTTGTCATTTCTTCCGATGCTTTTATACCCTTACCTTCCAATTCACACTTCATTTATACCAGTCTTAATGTTTTCATTACAAACTTCCACGATTTGATACTGGGAAAAAGGTCTCATAGGAACAAAGAAACTGCAAACTGTCATCTGTGGCTCCTATTGCAAAGCATATGTCTTCAGACTGCCTTTATTTACATATGCGTAGAGCTATTTGGACATTAAAAACAATCTCTTATAACAAAACCTTATCAAAGCACAGCATGATTGGTATGGCTTTCCCTGGGGTGCAATGGGAAAGAGAACAAAGCACACAGTTGTGTAAAAAGTGTTATGCTAATGAAAGCAGTCTAAGAAGCTATATAGAGTGGTATGGACTAAAGCAACTGAATTCAAACACAATATAATATATAATTGCAAATGCGATACGTGTCCCAAGAGAGCTAGAGCTTCCCTTTAATGTGATGGTAAAATTGTATCATATAGATTTCCAACATCACAAAAGCAAGGCCAGACTTTACTAATTTATAGCTAAAATTCTGTATTCTAGAGTTCAGAAAATGGTAACATCTGTAACAAAAAAATGTGAAAATACTAATACATAGTGACAATGCTTAGTATTCTGCCTTTGATGACTATACTTAGATGAAGTCAAGAAGAAGTAATTTTTTTTCTATAAATCCAGAAACTCACAGAATGTATTGGCACCGATATCAAATTAGTACACAAGTAGATATCTTCTTCGCTAGGGAAATCACTGAACAAAATACACACCTAGACTGGTATTTTTGCAAGGGATTCCTTGTAAACCTTTCCTAATGATTATCCTCCTTTTCTGTTGGCAGTGGTGATTTGTCTGTTGTCTCAAATGTCAGTTAGTCTAAGATAAAGGGAGGACATGAGCGGCAGGTATATAATCTTCTCTTTATCTCTCCTTCAATATTTCAGGAGTTTTACTTTAAATGTGGAGCACACCCAACCACTGACAGTGAAACATCTGTGGCTTTGAATCTCGTTACAACAAACAGTCGCTGTATCACATGTATAACATGCACAGATATTAGGTAAGTACAACGAAAAGTGTCAGAGATGCAGTCTCAGTGCTTCAGAGTACTTATTACTTTCAAAGCGCTTTTTTTCCTCTGCTGGTTTTCCTTTTTAAACATTTTTTTCCCCTGGTATCATAGTGGAAAACGGGCCACATTTTCAGGTGTGTTCTTTGTTTTGCAGTATGATTACAATTTATATTTTTCTAGCTTTGTTGAGTTGCAGGTGGAAATCTGACTGCTTAAGTTCTAACTACAACATCAAGTGCCCAAGATAGTGGCATAAGTGCGTAGATCTTTGCTGCTAATCCGTGTTTAAGAACCAGTGAATGAAAGCACAACTTTGAGGGGAACAAACTGTTCCTGCAGAAAGGAACTTTTTGGTCTTTGCTTTATAAATTAAAGCAAAATTTCTTAAGATGCATCTGTTCTCATGTTCTTGTTTATTGCAGTTTTAAATACTGTAATCCATCTTACCGTACGGTATTTGGGCACTATATTCAAGAATACCATTACATGCAAATGCATGGATTAAAAACCAATTGCCCGAGAAAGACAGCTACCATTGTTGTGAAGAACTACCTGAAACACATTTATCTACTGATTAGGAGATGTTTTGAGGTGGAACCTCAAAACTAAGGACATCATGTTATACACTCTAAGTGTTGCTATTGATTGGTCTGCATTTTGCAATAGAAGAAGGAACTTAGAAAAATCTTACAGGATAGGAGGAGGTGTGAGTGAAACTGTTAAGACATATCTTTTTGGGGAAGAAAAGCTGGATTCCTGGAAGTAAAATTCCTATTGAAAATAATAGGTGGTCTTTCTGATTCTATCCCAGACCTAGTATAATTATATTATGTTGTGCTTGCATGCTGCTGCGTTGATAGCAGCTGATTGGTTGTTGACAGTATTTGGCTCAAAAAAATCAGTCTTAGAGATTAAAAGATAATTGTGCATTGAAGAGAAGTGTGGTGTCCATCACTTCCCATATACACAGCATTTACAGTGTTGCCATGTGTCTCTTTCAGAGACTACCTTGCAGGCAGTCCATGCTGAATTACTTAGTTTGCCCCCAATGGTTAGGTATGCAGCAGTATTAACTTCTCTGTAATTAAGGATAATATGAAGTTTCCATTCTGATCCCAGCTTTCTCCTTTTCCCAAGAACAAGAGGGAAGACTATCAGACATAAATATGATTACTTAGGTTTGAGAACTGGTTATAATTATTTCAATCAAATTTTAAATGGGTATGTTGACATTTTTCTGAATTGGTATATTTAGTACAGACCTATTCAAACATATTCATGAAGTTGTAATTTTTTCCTCTGTTTTGTGGCAAAATCCCAAAGGAAAGAAAGAGGTAAGACTTCATTTTCTGGATTTGCTTAGCTGAACTGTTCCCAGGAGTAACTATTGGCTTCCTAAACTTTACTAGTAAAGTTTAGTGGGACTGTTTATTGACATGTCACAAAAGCATATCAATTCTCATTAATTTAAATTAAGGCATCAAATAACTATGGGAGACCTAAGTTTCAGTAGACTTTTAGCTCAGCACACAATCTGGGAATGTTTGTTTATCAATAAGCTTATTGGATTTATACACTAAACAGGGAAGGAAGACACATCTTCCTGTTGGCCACATGCCGTTCAGATTCTTTCTAGCTTACAGGACCCCTTCTGAGATGCCATTAGGTGATCTTAAAGTATTTTATTTCTAAAAGTTCGTAGGAGTTCTGACTGAGTATCCTAAGAAACAGGGTAGGATTTGAGTGCCTGAACACCTGACAAGGCACTAGCAATTCCTAGTTATCTATCCACGATGGGGACAACATGTTCTTTGAAGTTACTCATACACGTAATAAATCTTTCAGTCTTCTCTTTATTTTGCGTAGCAGATCCAGTTGTTCATAAACAGGTTTGTCTTCTGTTATGGAGCATAGAGGTAACTTTTTAGATAACGAAAGTTCAGTTTAGTTTTCTGAATGGCTGACAGATTTTATTTGATCATAGCAAGATCTCTGAAGACTGTAGCATGAGAAGAGGATTAGATGGCAGATATTATAAAAACAGCCTACAGAGCAGTTGTATCCCCTTTAATCTCGAAAAAGTCAGGGGAATACTCTTCTGACCCAGTATGTCTTGTAGGCCATGGAATTAATTGTTTGGTAGGAGGCAGTGAAATCAGTTATCCCAAGAGTGAGCAGGAAAGTACTCCAGAAGCCTTCTTGCAGTTTTAAAGGCTGTAAATGCGCTAATAAATTTATGTAGCCAGAATTTGTCTTCTCATACTTCCTAGAGCTATAGATGTAGGTTTCCTCTTTGTTCCTCAAGTGATGCAGTGAAATGATGAACAGGATATTCTCTCTTCTGCCATATTGTATATTTCATATTATTTCATAAGTGACCTCTGTTCTCCTGCACACCTCCTAATTTCCTCCCACCCATAAGCACTGGCCTGTGGAA